TGGGAGGTGGCTCAGGAGTAGAGTGCTCACTTAACATACATGAAGCCCTGGGTTCAATTCCTCGGTACCACATCACAGAAAAAGCCAGAAGTGGTGCTGTGGCTCAAGTGGTAGAGTGCTAGCCTTAAGCTTCCAAAGAAGCTCAGGGACAGCGCCCAGGACCTGAGTTCAAGCCCCAGGACTGGCAAAAAAAAAAGAACAAGCCAAAGGACTTGACAAGAATATTTGCATAAGCAAGCTCACTGAGGTCAATCCTCAAAAATGACCCCCCAAAAAGGAAAAAAAAAAGGCTGCTTGATAGATAATTTCAAGTAGGAAGTGTAGAAAGTCACCACAATGGTGATAGAGAAGAACCAGAAGGGCTGGGAAGGTGGCTCAGTGGTAGAGCGCTTGCCTTGCATGCCTGAGGCCCTGGGTTCAATTCCTCAGCACCACATAAGCAAAAAGAAAAAAGCTGGAAGTGGCGCTGTGGCTCAAGTGGTAGAGCGCTCGCCTTGAGCTGAAGAGCTGAGGGACAGCGCCCAGGCCCAGAGTTCAGGCCCAGGACCGGACCCAAAAAAAAAAAAAGAACCAGAAATCAAACTCTAAGAAAAAAGGCAGAGGACTTTATACAACCCATGCTAATAAAGTGGGAGATGGCGGGAGGGGATCCTTCCCACCAGCCCTGGAGGCTCAGGCCTGTAATCCTAACTACCCAGAAGGCTGAGACCTGAAGGTCATAGTTTGAAGCCACCCCAGGAAAAAAAGTCAAGGCTCTGGAAAATGCAGAACTGGAGGTATGTATCCAAAGCAGTACAGTACCAGCCATGAGCAAAAAGCACAAGCACAAGGGCCTACGTTCAAGTTCCAGCATACATACACGCACGTGTGTGTGTGTGTGTGTGTGTGTGTGTGTGCATGCACAGACACAGATTAGAGAGGACGTTACTCCAAAATTAATAAATGCATAACAAATGCTTCCTAACTAAATTGTCTTTTCTCCTATTACAGCATTGGTCATGGCAAAGTTATTACAGACAGGAAGGTCTAGAAATAACAAAACCCATTAGTTTAATTCTACTGATGTAAATTCAGGCCAATGTCAGAAAAAAATCAAGCACACACTACCATCGTTATAATGGTACCTTGTAACAGCCCTCTCCTCTCCTGCTTCCTGGCCAGTCCAGAAAGTTGTTGAGTGACGGATGAGTACATGTTAAGTCCTGCCCAACCCCACTGCCCATTCTTATAAACCTACGCACAGGGACCAGGAACAGAAAGTCCTGCTACTCTCCCAGTCAAGCACACTTTGCTAGTCTAATTGCCATCAGACTCACAGGACAATGGCCATTGTCTTGTAAATGAGATACTGAGAAAATAAACATACAAGTCTCTCCCCTACATTCAGACACAAGGTGGGATGGAGTCTGATTCCAGAGCCGTGTTCAATGATGCATGACCAGAACAGAAACACAGTGCCTGAGAAAAGGCCCCTTAGGAACCTGTAATAAAGAAAAGGCACATGAACAAAGCACAGCTCTGGCCCAGAAATGTAACTACTGGAAATCAAAATCTCTGGTTTTAAATCGTTTAACTTTAGCATTTATCAGACTGGATGTATGGTTCAAGAGGTAGAACCCCCAACAAGCAGGTTCAAGTATTATCATCTGCCACAGGTAAAGTCATGGTGTAGGAGAGAGCAGAGAGAGGGGTGACACTGTCAAAAGGAAATGTAAGCCGGGTGCTGGTGGCTCACGCCTGTAATCCAAGCTACTCAGGAGGCTGAGATCTGAGGATCATGGTTCAAAGCCAGCCCGGGCAGGAAAGACTGTGAGACTCTTATCTCCAATAAACCACCAGAAAACCGGAAGTGGCACTGTAGCTCAAGTGGTAGAGCGCTCGCCTTGAGCTGAAGAGCTGAGGGACAGCACCCAGGCCCAGAGTTCAAGACCCACGACTGGCAAAAAAAAAAAAAAAAAAAAATCTGTGGTCTGTCTTTTCTCACCTGTGCCATCTACGCAGAGGTCCAGGCAAAGGTATTCTTTTTTGTTGATGTTGAGGGGCTCAGGGCCTGAGCACTGTCCCTGAGCTTTTTTGCTCAAGGCTAGCGTTCTACCACTAGGAGCCATAGCTGTATTTCCAGTTTTCTAGTGCTTAACTGGAGATAAGTCTCATGGACTTTCTCATGCAGGCTGGCTTTTGAACCACAATCCTCCTATCTCAGCCTTCTGAGGAGCTAGGATTACAGACGTGAGCCACCAGCACCTGGCATAAATGTACTTCTTACTGTGGCTCACACTGAGTGGACTGAGCTAGGCATTAACAGCATTTAAGGCTTTTGATTGTGAGCCACGTGTACCTACCAAATAAACATTCTGAAAAGTGCTTTCTCCATGTCACTGTGCTGCCTGCTCCCCGGACGTGGGGAGCAGCATAGGCAACACAGGAGCGAGGCCAGTGACCGCTGCCCGCTCACAGATGCTCTTCAACAGAGCATCTGTGGCACCAGACATCAGGTGCTATCTTCTCTTTGTCCTATGCTGTTCAAGTGCTAATGGCTCACCCTGCTCACTGTCCATGATATTTCCAGGTCTACCCTAACCCAGGAAGTCTGCGGGGAGGGCTGCTGTGGAGATCCATGAGGCACTTCATGTGTACATAAGCATTATGATGTAACTATAACCAATACATTTGCCAAGTATCAAAGACAAAGTCAAGCAAGGCGCCAGGGGTTCACGCCCGGAATCCTAGCTATTCAGGATTCAGACATGAGGTCTGAGGTTCCCAGATCAAAGCCAGCCCCAGCCCAGACAGGAAACTCCATGAGACTCCTATCTCCAATGAACTACTCAAAAAAGCTGGAAGTGGCGCTGTGGCTCAAGTGTTAGACTGCTTGCCTTGTGCAAAAGAAGCTCAAGGACAGCACCAGGCCCAGAGTTCAAGTACCAGGACTGGCAAAAAAAAAAAAAAAAAAGCCAAAAGTCCCAGCTGGGAGTTCACACCAGTAATCCTAGCTACTTAGGAAGTGGAAATTTGATGACTGCCAGGTGGGCAGAACAGACCATGAGACTTTTCTCCAGTGAGCCATCAAAATACTAGAAGTAGAGCTGTGGCTCAAAGTGGTAGAGTGCTAACCTTTAACAAAAAAGCTCAGGACTGACTGGGAAGTTAACTCAGTGGTAGAGCACTTGCCTTGCATGCCTGAGGCCCTGGGTTCCATTCCTCAGCACCACATAAGCAAAAAAGAAAAAAGCCAGAAGTGGCGCTGTGGCTCATGTGGTAGAGGGTTAGCCTTGAGCTGAAGAGCTAAGGGACAGCACCCAGGCCCAGAGTTCAGGCCCCACGACAGGACCAAAAAAAACAAAACCAAAAAAAAAAGAAAAAAAAAAAACTCAGGACAGTGGCCAGGCCCTAAGTTCAAGCCCCATAACCACACCACCACCACAAAATCCTGAAACCATGGGTTGGGAAGGCAGCTCAATAGTAGAGCGCTTGCCTTGCATGCATGAGGCCCATGGATTCAATTCCTCAGCACCACATAAAACAGAAAAAGCCAAAGTGACGCTGTGGCTCAAGTGGTAGAGCGCTAGCCTTGAGCTGAAGAGCTGAGGGACAGCGCCCAGGCCCCCAGTCCAAGCCCCATGACCGACAAAAAAATTAAAAAATGGCACCTGCCATTTGAGCCATACCTCCACTTTTTGTTTTTTGTAAAGCAGGACTGGGGGGGGGGGGGGAGATGGTATTAACTGGAGACTAAAGTATTGTGGAATAACTGGAGATAAAGATTCTCGTGGACTTTCCTGTCCAAGAAGGCTTTAAATCAAGATCCTCAGATCTCAGGCCCTGTAATAGCTAGGATTGCAGGAATAAGCCACAGGCATGGTTAAATTTATGATTTAAAAAAAAGGGGAGGGGGAAGGAGTAGGAAAAAAAAGTTGCACAAATAGCAAAGGATTTTTCCCCTTTACATACACACTTACTTGTTGGAAGTATAAACAATTTTTTCAGGGAAATATCATGTTTCCAAAATGTAAAAAGTATACATGAATGACCTGGAAATTCTAAAGAAATAGAATTCACAATACCTATTTTCCAAGAAAGAATAGGAGCAGAAGACTCTGACCATGTAATAATGAAAGAGGAAACATTACAACCCCTGTTAATTACAATCCTAATGAGCTGTATCTAAAACCAAAATGATAGCACAGACCTTCAATAACACAGGAGGATGCTCACAAGGTTATGCTGTTGTCACTTCTGTTTTTCGTTTTGTTTTGCCAGTCTTGGGGTATAAACTCAGGGCCTGGGCGCTGTCTCTGAGCTTCTTTTGCTCAAGGCTAGCACTCTACCACTTGAGCCGCAGTGCCACTTCTGGCTTTCTGTTTTGTGGTACTGAGGAATCCAACCTAGAGCTTCAAACATGCGAGGCGAGCACTCTACCTATGAGCCACCTTCCCAGCCCTCTTCTAGAAGTTTTATAAAAATAAATGTTACATTACACAGCTGGGTACCAGTGGCTCACATCTCTAATTCTAGCTACTAAGGAGACTGAGAATTGAGGATTGGGGTTCAAAGCTAGCCCAAGCAGGAACGTCAGTGAGACTATCTCAAATAAATTACCAAAAAGCCAGAATTGAAGCTATGCTCAGATGGAAAAGCACTAGCCTTAGGCAAAAAAGAAGCTCAAGCACAATGCCCTGAGTTCAAGCCCCAGGACCAGCACTATATAAATACGTGAGCGTTTACACATTTCAGACAGACACACTCCGGAAAGGTAACACAACCAGGCAGCTGCACCGTACAGGCTTTGATTCGATCAGCAGCACACTGCGCTGGTCAGGGCGCCCTTCCTAGGCCGATCCAGACAGGCTCCGGGACCCAGAAACAACACCCGGGTGGGCTGGAGCGGCGACTCTCCCTCCTCGCCCCAGACCGCTCCCTGGGGCAGAGTAATGGCCGTTTTTCACTGTTTGCCATTCTGTACTGGCTTCCAGTTATTTCAACAGAAAGAAGGTGGTCACTGCTCTTGAAGCTGCAGAGGGGCCCTGCCCGGACCCCGCAAGGCGCCGCCGCTGTGCGCACCACGCGCCCGGGCACTCGGCCCTCCACGGAGCCCGCGCGCACCTGCTGGTACCCAAACGCCATCTCCACCCTAAAACCCAACGGGAGGGGTCCAGAGCGCCACGGCTGGGCAGACACCTGAGGAGCTCGCGAGGGGCAGGAGGAAAGGGGCCGAGTGCGGCCTAGCGGGCGGCCTCT